AGTCTTTAAAATTTGGATATTATTATTATTATTATTATTATTATTATTATTATTATTATTATTATTATTATTATTATTATTATTATTGTTGTTGTTGTTGTTGTTTTTATTGTAAGCTAGCTAGGATCACTTTATTGTGAGAGGGGTGGCTATATAAATGTCAAAAATGAAGAAACAAATAAATGGAATACTCCATTGTTCTTTCTTTTTGCTCTCCAGCCAGGACTTTCTGCTCAACATGTCTGTCTTCTTCCTATTTTTGCAGGCTACTAATGCTTGTTTGAAGAAGAAATGTAGTTTCTTGGATGAGAGAAAAAGCAGATAGTGCAAGGAGCACCAATCATCTCTTGGTGCTCCTTGTACAAACAGGTCTTTTTAGACACAGGCAAAACGAAGTGCTGAAAAGGAGGCTGTTTACCTTCCATTTGCAAGGCAAAGGCACCATAATTTCCTTTGTGTCTGTTTATGTACTATGTCTGTAGGAGGCCGGTCCTCTTCCCCCAATTTACAAAAGCTTCAAAATAGACAGAGGAAAATTAAATCTGAAGCACTCTGCACTTGCCCAGGCATAATTAGCATGGACAAGCCAGCGCCTTTACCTGGGCTAATCCTAACGGGTTCAATCACACTTAAACTTAAACTGTGTGGCTAAATTGATGATTGCAGCTTTCCCTGAAATGTAATCTGTCCCCATGCGAGGTATTTCTCTTTCTGTCCTTCTAGCTCTGTCTTAGAGAAGCATTTTGTTTCTCTCTTCCTGCCACCGCCTAAGGTGAAAGCCCCAATCTGAGCTGCCTGCAAAATAAGACAAAATTTACAATTGCAACATTCTTGGGAAGGGCAGAGGGTTCCTGTCTCTTTTATCTGTATCTAAGGTGATCATCTCTCCATCTCTCCTGCCTTGGTTCCTTCTTTTCTCCCGAGACACAACAACGGGAGGGAGGGGAAGAAGTCGAAACAGATGAGAGCTGCAGCTCGGATGCCCCTGTCTGTGTTATTGTATCCATTTTCCAATGGCAACGATGTGTGAAATGAAAATTGGACAGAGCTGGCTGCTCACAGACCTGGAATTTTCATACAGGCTAGTGGAGGGAAGGAGGGAGCAGAGAGACAGAGAGATGTCAGGAAAGGGGGAGGGGGATAGAGTCTTCTGGATGGCTGCACGCACCCATGGCCTGAGTAAGCCCTACTTCAGTTTAATAGACCCTTGGAGTGGAAGTACCAGGCTCATTTACATTTCATTACTCCAAATGCTCTGCCAGCTCAAGATATCTGAGAGCATTTACAGAAGCAGAAAAGTTGAACAGAAACCCAGAAGGGTTGTGGATTCCCTCCCTTCTCTAATTCCTTTTGCTACATTCTAGCAGCCATTTTATAAGCATCTCCTTATAGGAATTGCTGCCCTGCGTGACACAGATTTTCTCACATGTGTGATCTATTCCCTGCCATTTTTACTGCCACAATGGCTTTTCTTTCTATAAAGACTGGGGTAGAACATGGTGTGTGTGTATGTGTATCAGTGGTGGGATTCAATTTTTTTTTACTACTGGTTCTGTGGGTGCGGCTTGGTGGGCGTGGCATGGCTTGGTGGGCTTGGCAGGGGAAGGATACCGTAAAATCTCCATTCCCACCCCACTTCGGGGGAAGGTTACTGCAAAATCTCCATTCCCTCCCCACCCCACTAACCTGCTTTCCAGCTTCGTTCTCCTGTGCAGGGCAACAAAAGAAGACCCAGCTGGCACTCAGGATGGGGGCGGGCAGTGGTGGGATTCAAAATGTTTTGCTACTGGTTCTGTGGGCGTGGCTTGGTAGGTGTGGCTTGTAGTGTGGCAGGGGAAGGATACTGTAAAGTCTCCATTCCTTCCCCACTCCTGGGGGAAGGTTACCACCAGTTCTCCAAACTACTCAAAATTTCCGCTACCAGTTCTCCAGAACTGGTCAGAACCTGCTGAATACCACCTCTGGTGTATATGTGCTTGTGCATATGTGCTACCATTTGTCATTGCAATAATGTTATGCAGAAAAAGGTTATAATAGAATAACAGAATAAATAGAAGAATAACAGAGTTGGAAGTGACTTTGGAGGTCTTCTGTATAGTCCAACCCTCTGCACAAGCAGGAGACCTATATCATTACAGACAAGTGGCTGTCCATTCTCTTCTTAAAAGCCTCCAGTGATGGAGTACTCACAACTTCAGAAGGCAAGCTGTTCCACTGGTTAATTGTTCTCACTGTTAGGAAATTTCTCCTTAGTTCTAGGTTGCTTAGATGAGAAGCAAAATGTCTTCAAAGGAAAACCAGAAAGTCTAGTTGCCTTTTGAAGAAGCACCTTTGGGCCAATTGGAGCCCAAATTGGGGGCGTGCATAAGCACACCAACGTGCCTACCATCCCTGTCCTATGGTTTCTTTTATTTTTCTTATATATATGTATCCATGTATTCATAACTATGTTTTTACTTATACCTATTATCTTGTAAGCAATTGACAAACCAAATATAATAAATAAACTTCTGCAACCATTCTTCATATGTTTTAATCTCCCCTAATCATCTTCGTTGCTTTTTTTCCTGCACTCTTTCCAGAGTCTCTACATCTTTTTTATAATATGGTGACCAAAACTGGTTAGAGTATTCTAAATGTTCTTCCCACTTTTTCTCTTCTCTCTTACCAAACCCATGAAAGAAATAAAATGGAAAAAAAAATTCTGACCAGAATCTCTTGGTTGTACCTGATAATGAAATTTTAAGAAATTACAATATTCTCATTTCATTTCCCCCCCCCTATACATGAGAGAACTAGGTAATCAAACCAGGAAAGTTCATGTGATGTCCAATATTGGTAACTTAAATAAAGTGAGATAACCTAGGGCAGGGGTGTCCAACCTTTCACCTTCCCTGGGCCACATTAGAAGATGAAAATTTGGTTTGGGCCGCACATATAATAAATTATTATGAAATAATTATATTATAAAATTATATAATAAATTATAAATTATTTTTATTATTTATTATTAATTATTTATTAAAAATTATTTATTTTTTATTAATTTTCCGGCCAAATTTTACGGGGGGGCGGCGGTGGGGGCGGCGGGGGCAGAAGCGGCGGCGGGGGCGGCGGCGTGGCAGAAGCAGCGGCAGCGGCAGCGGGGGCAGAAGCAGCAAAGGCGGCGCCCGCCTTTTCTGTTGCTGCTTGGCGTGGCGCTCACCTCGCCCCGCCTCGTGCCTGCCTCTCCTCCTCCTCCTCGCTGGCTCTTGCCAGAAGGTTGGGGTATGCACTGGGCCGCATTACGAGGCAACCTGGGCCGCATGCGGCCCGTGGGCCGCGGGTTGGACAAGCCTGACCTAGGGTATATAGCAACTTTAGAGTTGTCTTACCATCATGAAGTTTTAGACCTACTTAAACCTGGTTTTGGAGAAAATATGGAAGTATGCCTGCTTGCTTTGCTCACATGGTTTTAAAGAAGAGATGAAGCTGGATTTACCAGCATAGTACTTGATGACATTATGGCACATTAAGTTAGGATTTCTGATTAAATGTAACATCCGAAGATGGTCAAGGAGTCCTGATGATATCACAGGGTTTATTTACTACTATGCTTAGTTACTGTATAAAAAAAATGAGTGAAACTCACAGGAGACCAACTTGAATCAAAATTCTAGTGCATGTCTGATATTCAGAAACACAATGAAATGATGGAGATACCTCCATAGTTCAAAGACAACGTAACAGGAGAAATTGACCCTGATATCTTCTTCAATTATCTTCTTTGGAACTTTGGTATTCATAAAAAGGTGTCAAAAGAGGGTAGATGGGATGCCAAGCCAAAGAACCTACAAAAGAACTGGGACCTCTATTGCAAAACTGTGTCTTCCATTATGCCTCCCATGGACATTATTGTTTGTCATATTGTTTTAAAGATCCATTCAGACAATTGTTTGCTTGCTCGGCAAAAGTGCATGTGTATTATTCATTTGAGAAAGAGGATTCAGACCCACAAGCATATATTCCATCTCTCTAGTAGTCAAACTCTAGTACTGTATATTGTTGCTGGGAAAATGCAACCTACTTCCTCAGTCTATTACTTTTAATTCCAACGGAAGTGCTGTGGTTAAAGGAAACTGCCACAAAAAGGAACTCTACATTACTTCAAATGTATAGAAGAACTACAGCAATTTTTTAAAAAAAATCTAAACTAAGCATGGGGACCTAATATAATTCAAGACCTCAGTTTGTGTGGGTAACTTTATTTTATCCATGCCTATAATTTAAAGAGGCAAAAAAGTTTTTCATTTAAAACACACACACACACACACACATTTGAATCATTTTTGGAAATAAAATCCTCAAGCAGTCCTCCTCCCAATCTAGATCAGGCTATAATGAGAAATAATATGTTAAACCACCACAGTTCCCTTGCTCCTGGGACCTCTTCTGGTTTGGGTCATTGACAGCTTTTGCTAATATCTATTTGATGTAATCTAATTCTTCTTCAATACATGAGCTCCATCTAGAGACCTTTCCCCTTTCTGTTCTCTCCCTTTAAAACCTACCTCCAGTATCTCAGCACACCTCACCATTTGCTGATTGAAGAGGGAAAATAGAATAGCAAATCACATAGAGAGTCCATGTGCCCTGAGTATGGATAGCCTTTCGAACTATGTTATATTACTACCATTAGGGGGGCAGCTATTGCTCATCGCGATAAAGCCTGAAACTGTATATTGTTTGACTTAAGTATTTGGGGAAAAAAAGAGTTAGTGTTAAAATCTAGGCATGTCTCAGCTGCACCTGTACAATGACAGAGAAAGGTATATCCTGGAAGACTGAAGTAAGAGCACCTAATTTTTTGTTTCTCCAAGGAAGATTAAAGTATAAGGATAATCAATAAACTCACTTAAATTTTGAGCTGGCCCATTGCTCTGAATTTTGTCGCTAAGTTGTTTTATTCTTAAAACATGCAGCATAGTTAACTCCCCACTCCACTATGCTCTCCTACTTACCAAGGCCTTCTTCGGACATCATACAGGTCAATCTTATTGGGGGCTCTCCATGGGGAGGCTGCAATGAGAAGAAGCAGTGAAAACTATAATGATTTTTGAGGTACAAAATGTGTTTATATGGGGGAACTTGGGGAGAGAAAGGGAGAGAGAGCAAAGCTGACATGGAAAGATTTCTCTGCCAGGAATGGTATTAAGCAACAAGAACACTGGAATATGTAAAACTGGGAGGAAAAGCAGCTGTAACTTTTGTGTTATTCAAATACCTATTATTGTCACAATGCACTGGCCCTGAAAGAAATGTGTTTAAAGCCCATATTAATCTGAAGTGTTTGAAGGGTTGGTTTTTTCCCCCCACACTTCAAACACTATTCTTTGCTTTGGAACATGTGAATTAGAAAGCAATTAACATTTCAACCAAACACATTTCTTTTGCTTATCCTGCCTTTGAAAAAATACACATTTTGCTATTTTGATAAATAATTTACAAGGTGTATACAGTAATGGAGGGCATATGTTTACATCAAACTTGGCTTCCCAATTTAACCAGCAGTTTGAACCTCAGGACTTTTGACAGAACCTTTCTATTCCTGCTTCAGAATTCTTTGAAGATTCATATGAATGATATGTTTATTGCCATTTATATTTTTTATACCTCTCAAGAATTCAGAATAGCATTTTCAAGCAGAGAAGATATAACTTTATCAAAGCCAGTGGGTCTGGGAAAACAGTCAGCAGCCTCAGAACTTCACATAGGTTTGCAGTCCAAATTTTTATGCCAGCAGAATACCTGAGGCCGTGCTACTGAAAACTGGTGGCATGAATACTGAAAATGAATGGTGTGATTTCTCACCATTCTAAGGTTGATACTGTAGGGCAATTCTTACAGAAGGATTAGCTAGGTATTTCAAAAGGCTTCACATTCCCCTTCATAGATTAGAATTGCTGAGAATCAGGCACCATTCGAATTAATTGATTAATTAATTAATTAAACAAATAAATATGAACCTCAATGTCCTAGTTCTCTCTAAATCAAGGCAAGCAAAGTTAGGAAACAAAAACCACTGGGTCTTCTGCAAAGAACTGTATTGCTAGTTCAGTAAAATCCAGGTTCTTGCAAGCCCATTACAGGACTTCTCCAGACCATCATGCACCTATTGAAATTAAAGTAGAGTTGCTTTAGGTCTCTTTCTCATGCTACCTCCTCCCTTGGGGTGAAGTGATTCTTGAGTGGTGGGCCGAGATCCTCTCCCTTTTTCCTGGGTGCTGTTAGACCTTCAACTTCTCAAAGCCATAATATTCCCCATAGACTCACCTCTTTGTCCAGCATGGACCTTGGTCCTGGCCAATAGTGGCCATGGTTCCAAAAGAACCATGGACAATGTCCTGACTGTCAGATTTAAAGTAGGTTCAGCTACTTTATTTGCATAACATCCCTAATGTGGTCTCGGTCAGGGGTCGACAACCTTTTGGACCTCAGGGACCATCAAACTCATAATTTTAAATCCCAGGGACCTTTAACTGGCTCTGTGGGCATGGCCTAATTTGTGGGCGTGGCTTAGTAGTCATGTGACTGGCTGGGCATGGCTTGTATGTAAATATTATAAATATTTATATAAATATTGATTTTTTTATAAAAAAAGAGCAACTTTTACCCAAAATCAGGCAAAGCAGGCAGGCAGATTGAGTTGCTCACAGAATCATTCAGTGATCTATCTATCTGCCATTGGCTAGCTCAATCTCTCAAATTTTCTTGCCGTGAGTCTGCACTGAATAATAGAAACTTCAGTCCCAAGGGAGGTTCGGCTGTGCTTAAAAGCAGAGCCGAAGATCTAAAGACTAGCTAGAAAGCAAGAAAGCCAACCATTCCCTGCTTCCTAGCTAATCTAAATCTCCCGGCAGAGCAGAACAGATGATGGTCAGAAAAAGGAAAAATAGCAATTTAGCAGGCAAGTTTGCTGGGTAAGGAGTGAGTGGGCGGGGAGGGTTCCCACGGGCCATGTGGGCGGCACAGCCTTGTGTTTCTGCACAGCCTGGATTAATTGCTTTGGGGGGCGGTGCTCTGGGGGTGAGATTTCTCTGCGGATGACCAAAATTTTCTTGCGGCCCACCGATTGGCGACCGCTGGTCTAGGTCATTGTGGAAATTAAAATAGTTGGCCGAATGTACAAAAATCCTAGATATTTTGTGAAAAAGCAGGCAAATAAAAGGATACAAGCCTTAAAAGTTGCCCATGGATGTCATAAGGTAAAGGTTCCCCCGCACATGTGTGTTAGTCGTTTCCGGCTCTAGAGGACGGTGCTCATCTCTGTTTCTAAGCTGAAGTGCCAGCATTGTCCAAAGACGTCCATGGTCATGTGGCCAGCATGACTAAATGCCGAAGGTGCATGGATCACTGTTACTTTCCCACCAAAGGGGTCCCTATTTTTCTACTTGCATCTTTTACATGTTTTTGAACTGCTAGGTTGGCAGAAGCTGGGACAAGTAACGGGAACTCACTCCATTATGCGGTGCTAGGGATTCGAACTGCCAAACTGCCAACCTTTCTGATCAACAAGCTCAGCGTCTTAGCCACTGAGCCACCGCATCCCCTATGGATGCCATAAGTTACCTCAAATGTTTGGTGGTTGACAGAGAAGAAGAGGATTAACCAACCTCCTTCTCTGACATCACAACCATGTGAAGAGAAATAAGAAAGACGACCTTGATGGAAATGTGCAGGAACTGTTTAGCTAGGCAAAAGAAGCTGAAACATTTTTTAAATGAGATAACATTAGGAAATGGCTCAGGCAGATGCCTCTCTAATTCACTGAAGTATAAGAAAAAGAAGGAGATGAGTACAATCATACTTGAAAGATTCTGATACTGTTGCCAGTCTCAATAAAAGTACATTGAACATTCCTGTGGGGTTGATTTCAGGATCTGATCTACTTAGTGGAGCTGACCTCTGGTCATACCTTGATACCCGGAATCAAAAGGAAGAGCAGAGAAATAAAGAAGGCAGAGACTTCTTTATTCTCCAGCAAAGAAGCTCTTATCCATCCCAACAGGAGGAAGAGTAACAATGATCCTTCCATAACAATGAATGGCCTGGGATGACCAGGAAAGTAGTGCACTTCACTTCTTCTAATGTGAAAGCCATGACTGTGCTGCTGCTCCCAATATAACAGCTCAAAACCCAGCTATTTAAATGCAACCCCACTGTTTAAATTATATTTTCACTCTGTTAATTGAGAACGGTACAAACCTGGATAGAAGCGGGTTACCCCTGTAGCACTGCCGAAGACTTGCCACAGCAGAGACGGGTCTTCTTTTCGGTTTTCCACAAACACATCCTCTAAGGCTTCTGTCCAATTCAGTTCATTGAGAATTACAGTGGCTGCAAAAGACAAGGGACAAGTTTAGTGTGCTTGAGGTCTAGAGATCTCTTTGACAAATACGATTGTTCTCTGCCAAGGAAAGAAGGCGAGTTGCTTTTGTGAAAGGATATATGCCCTCCATTAGCAGGATATATTCACTCCATTAGGAGAGCTGTGAAGAGTGACATCAGCTGAAGGATTGTTCCTGGCAATGCCCAGCATCTCCTGTGGAGCTGATTATCATCAATTTGTCACAACAACATAGCTGCATGCTGGCTATCTCTCTTCAGTGGGACCATTCCTTGACCTCTTGTTTATATTGCTTATTTACAGACCACCTTTCTATCAGAGATGGAATAGGAAGTGCCTAATAATGGCAAAAAAGAACTGAAACCAACTGAAAGCCAAATAAGAGCGTACCCCAAAAGAGGCCTCTTAAAACTTCATTAAATTAAAATAGAGTTTAAAATTCAGAACAGCCAAAACAAACAAACAAACAAAAAATCCCCAGTTCAACTCTGTAAGCTAAACACCTGTATAAAGGTAAATGCTTTTGCCTGCCATCAAAAGACCAGCCATGAAGGACACTATCAGCGCTATTATCAAGGTAATGATTTCATGAAAATACCATGCATAAATGGGTTTATATAATCAAACATCAACCGGTATGTATTAAGAGCAGTGATAATCAATTGACTATGTCTGAGACGAAGACCAAAGAGACATTGCTGGTATAAATGATTTAATGCATTAGATTTAATAACTACGTAGCCAAACATTATACAGAGAACCATGTGAGATGCTCTTAGACTAGAATAAGTTGAAGCTGAGACCTTTTGTTTGTTGGTTTTTAAAAGAAATAACCATAAAATATAAATCCATTTGACAGTGTGTACATTAAGGAATTAGTCCTCTGATACAATATAATTTGTGATGTGTCTCATATAATGTAATATAATATGATTGTAGCATAATATAATAATATAACATACACAGAGAGATTAATAAAAGAGGTTAACTGCAAAGTACCTATGAATGATCAAAATTTGAAATGAGTCCTACCACTAGATGTAACAATTTTTAGGGGTGCGCCATGTCCACCTGAGACCTGGAAGAGGATGGGGAAGTGCTAGCTGGTAACTCAACCCACATCATCTTCATGTATATTGACAGCACCCGAACTGAGAAGGTAATGTAGTATGGAAGTCTATGTGTGCCTCCTCCTTCCAGGTGCTCTCACACCACCAACATTTGGTAGTGCAACTGTAAGGCTTAGTAAGATAGTTTGCAACACTTTTAAAACATCAACAGGGTAGCTAAGGGAAAGGATATTTTTGTCTGCATTTTGAGGACTTGGAGCACTGTTAAAAAAATGTGGTCTTATCCCTTTTTTAATCCTGGTGATCCTGATTACTGCATCCCTCAGCTCTGAACTCACAGTTCAGAGATAAGTAAGTGAGCATTATTCATCATGCTGATGGAGACTGATGGAAGCTAGAATTCAAAACAAGTGAAGAACTCTAGAAATTCTCCTTTCCCCACTTTCACTAGGGATAAATCTAGAATGTCTTACCCTCTTCATGTCACACTGTTTCTAGTTCCCCAGTCCTTGCCCAGCACTCCCTATTACAGTCAGACATCTTTGACTGCATGACAATTTTATGGCCATCTTAAAGCCTTCCCAAGAATAAGAATCCATGTACCATGATAGACATTTGTCCCCTTAGTTCCCCATATAGATGGGAAATATTCTGTTGGCAGCCAGGTTTATCCCCCCCCCCCCCGCCCCACCAATAAGCCAGTTAAAAGAGATGCCAAATGATAAAGGGACTCTACTGGGGTTATTCCCTTTCTGCATTCCTGGTGGCTTTTGTGTCTAATGCAAAAGGAATTAAGACGCTGACAAACAGAAGCTTTAAATTATTCAGCTATTAAGGAAAGCGATAAGCTCAAAGCAGCCTGACTGTATGATTAATCAGCTGGGGCTGGGATTTAAGCAATGTGTAGAAGAGAGACATTTGGTACTTGTCGCTGCCAGCCTGCTCTTTCTCTCTTTTAAAGGAATCTTCCACTCCCCCAAAAATGCCAGTAACAGTACTTGGGGGAGAGAAAGTCCTGGAAAGCAGCAGCTGAGAGGGGCTGGCGGCTGGACGATTGGGGAGAGAGATGAATTTTGAGCACAGGCTGGCAAGGAAACACCAGCCCCACTGACAATCATTGTTTGACTCAACCTCTCATGTGCATTTTAAAGAGATCACACGTCACTCTTCCCTGACAGAGGACATCGGTACTAAAAAGCAGTCAAGATAGACACTTGAAATATTTTACAAGAGAGCAGCAACTAGATTTCCATCATTTTATCACCAAGGAAATGAAAGAAAGCTTCATCGTGTTTAGTCACGTCCCAGATATTACAAAATATGTTAGCAGGCCCTGGAGTCATGCCCAAAAAGATGGATATAGGAGAGAATAGCACTCCACACCTTTGTTAGCTCACGCGAACATCCCTTCACCTTTCATCAGTCTCCTGACGCAACTCCTCCGGGAAATGTTCAAATGTATTATGTATGAATTCTGGGCCAATTTCCCACGTATTCTCTTGAATATATCAGTTGTCCCTTTTGGCTTCCCCAGCAGCTATACTGATCATTATACAAATATATTTCCAAGAGTATAAAGGCACGACTCGTCCATGTGTACCCACAGGAGGTAGAAAAGGTCAGATCTTTGCCCTTCACTATTGGAATGTGGTCCAGAAGAAATTCCTCGTTCACAACAGTGCCAGAATATTAAAATAAAATGGGAGACTTTACTTTCATTCAGTATTATCATAAAATTATATCCAGTTCTCATAGGTTCTTCAAGTCAGAATGGCTGTAAATGTGAATGTTTACACATGTATCATGTTACGGAGACATTGCCTCTAACTGTCTGGGGATGATGGGCTCAAGTCGTATTCTGAAAACATGTGGGCTGAGCTCTCTTGGTTGAAGGAACATTGTGAGCATTTTTCTGTTTGCAGCAGAAACTCCTTAGGAAAAAGACACTTGGATCAAAAAGCAATGGGAGCTTATATGTGTTCTCATCCTTCTGGAGCCCATCATTTCTTTGGCTCTGGGTTAGGCAAATGCTGGTTGTTGCATAAACAAATGTCATGGCATACTTTGAGAAACAACATTTAATCTGCTGTGTGCATTTAGTTCTATGTTATCTTTACTATTGTCTGATTCAGGGGTCTTCAAACTTGACAGCCTTAAGACTTGTGGACTTTAACTCCCAGAATTCCTCCTCCAGTCATGTTAGCTCAGGAATTCTGGGAGTTGAAGTCCACAAGTCTTAAATTTGCCAAGTTTGAAGACCCTTGGTCTGATCTAACCCCAAAGGATCATTACAGATCATTTACTTGACCAGGAGACAGAAAAACCAGTGCTTGTTCTTAATTCTGTTTAAAGAAATCTACTAACTTTCTTCTAATTGTGACAACAGTTCTGGTAAACACAGTTTCAAGGATCTTTGAAGATTAGGCATTTCTGCTGGCTAGATTCCCAGTAGTACTGCTCACAAATAATTATTTAGGGGTTGGCTTCTTGCTCGTTCCAATTCTTTTTTGGAGTGAAGTAAACAGAAAGCTGGTAAAAGCGCTTTCGGTTAAATGTTTGGAACAGGTATTTCTCTATGTTCCAGTTTAATGGATTGTGGAAGCTCTACTCTAATGCAGCCCAATGCCTGTCATAAATCTGTTATATATTGCTGGACGCAATCCAGAGGACACATTCTGGTTGAATCAATATGATTTTTTTTCTCTTCTAACAGTTAGCAATTATTAAAGCTACATGACCTGAAGATGTATTGGAATCCAAGGTGGAACTGAATCAAATATAAACTAGAACACATGGAACCCATGGGACAAACAAGCAGCTCCGATCAGAGGATAATACAGTATAGAAAGCAATCAGGAAACTGTTACAGATGCTGCAGTTTACCAGAGTATGGAGTGCCCTACCTCATCTTGGTGCCAGCTAAAAGTGTTGTAGTCCAGAATTACCAGTAAGAATGCCAAACCAGCCAGCAGTTTGGAGAACACCTGATTGGGAAAGGCTGGTTTGAGAAATGTCATATTCTAGAAATGGTAGAATGAGGAAGATCCAACAGTTCCTTTGACCTTACATCTTGAGTAAAAGTTGCAAATATCTCTGACACAGCTGGAAAACAAGATGCTATATTTCTAAGTAAAATCCACATACGGTATATCTGATTGTTAAAACAACTTGTTCTGCTGAAATAGGAGTGGATAAGCAACGGAATTGCTGTACTATTGACTACTGTAGGAAAACAATGGTTATTTGACAGCTTCCCCCACCCAAGAGTATATGAGAAACAATCTCATGAGAATTTGTTCCATGAAAGTTTCTTTTTAGTTATCTAAAGTTGCAGCAGAACTCGTCCAAATGTTGAGTACATTTTTTGCCTGAAGGATACAGGATACCCCAAACAGCAATTGACATCTAAAAGCTTTGCAAGGGTTCAGAATCTCGGCAATGAGCCTCAGTGCTTCCATTGCTGCATTTTCAAATATTAGATTCTATTTGTGCCTCATTTCCCTTAATAACTGTAATGTTCTGCCTGGTAGGCTGGATTTGATGATAAAGCTGTTAGTATTAGGCTATCAGTCACTGTACTGTCATGGCTCTTTTATAACTCTTACAGATAAATAAAGGAGCCCTTAACATTTAAACAACATCAGCACAGTTTCTTCCATTTTGGGAGAAGGATTACTGTATTATTTCCGCGAGGTTGTTCAGGTGGACAAAACACAAATACATTCCCTTTCCTCCCTCTTTCTTTTTCATACATCAAGGACCTATGGGGTGAGGAGAAAACACTTTTACCTCCTCAAGCACCTGATGTAATTCACAACCTCATTTTTTTCAAAGATTCATAACTTGCATAATATTCACAGGGTTTAATATGATATGCAAATAGGAACAAATGGGTTTATTTGGGGGTTTCTTAATGTGAC